ATGACGAAAACAAATTAATCTTTTTTGATACTGCAGATGCATGTTAACTTTTGAATTTTTGGTGTCAAATTCTGTAACAGACAGTATTATGCTATTACTTCCACTTTTGCATGAATTAATTGATGTGAGATTCTAATTTTTTTGGTACTTTTGCTTTTATTTACTTTCAGACATTTAATTTAGAATAATGAAATGCATTAGGGCCATCCTAATGTATATAATTAATAAATCTCAGAAACAAAAGAATAAACAAGAAATATGCCTGACATTTGAGCTAGCTTACTTTCAGGCATGTATTTCGATGGGAGGTATTTGTATCTTTTTTTTTGAGCAGACAGAGTCCTTGTGTGATTTTAGTTGGACGTTCTTTAAGCTATCGTTTCATTGTCACCATTACATTTTTGGATCTGATTTCTTTATTAAGTGACATTGCTTAAATACTTCTAATATTACTTACTATTATTATTCTTATGGCAGAGAGGAGGTTGAACATGTATTTTTAAGTCACTGTATCAAATATTGCTTTTAGAAGATCTGACACGGGTGCAACAACTATATTGGAGAGTCCGTGTAACATAGTTCATCAAGTCTGGTAAGTTTTTCTCTCCTTTTCGTTCTTTTTGCACTGATTTCTGGCTTATGGGAGGCATCTAGCTCAACCCAATTCCAAGGAGAGGTTCACTATGATGGGGATATTCTTTTTTGACCTTAAGGAAAAAATGAAATGCAAAGGGGACCATCCTTTTGTTGCAGAATGTTCCTCAGATCTATGAATTTGTAGGGGCCCTCGAGAAGGATTTATTATAGAGAAAATCTTAATAGTTAGTCCAATCACAACTACACGAAAGTTGTCCCTTTTTTATTGAGATTTACCCATCTAAGAGATGCACAGAGGAAGAGAACGATATTCATATATCCCTTTTCTACTCTACTCCTATTCTGGTTGTGCCATTACCAATCGCGGATAACCCCCTGGGGTCTGACCCCTCCAGACCTAAGAAGAACTACTATCCTTGTGACCAAACACTGATCAGCTTCTTACGTCTAGAGCAATAGTTCCCACGATCCCGACCAACTTCTTGGGAGTAGGGACACTTGATATCTTTGAGAGTTCATCAATTTTTGGTTCAATGGTAGTTTTTCATACTCTTTTAGAAAATTTGAGATTTTCATTCGGAGGTATCAAGTAATATCGATTCATACATGAAATAGACAATCAGAGGTTAGACAAAAGAGTTATTTTCATAACACCGACACCTTTTGTAGGCATACGCTAGAATAACATGATAAAAATTAAAAATTGTGTCCAATTTTAAATGATGCAAATTTTTTATTTCTATTGTTATGATGTTGCTGCTATATAATCTCTCAGGCCCTAGCTCCCTTGTCTTCCAATTCTTCTCCTATATTCTTTTTATTTTTTTGCTCCTTCTGGTCTTCACTTTTGGGTTTTCTTGTGGAGTTTCTCCATTTTCTGTTAAATTTTTTTCTGGTGGATCTTCATTCAGTTTTTGATAGTGAGTTTGGTTGGCGTATGTATGTTTTCTCTCTATTTTTCATGAATGTCATGATCTACTCATGCATGATTTTAGTAGTTTAGGTTCAAATAAATTGCAATAGATATGTTGGACTTAAGATTGGCTTGTACTGCTTTTTGCGTAATGACCTTTCCGTGATTATTGACTTCATACTATTAAGCAACGTAGAGAACTCGGGATGGTACTGTTTTGACAATGCTGTACTTCATGACACACTGACAACCTTGACATTGTTGCATTATGGCACTTCAGATACGCTTCTAGCCTGCTACAACCAAATACAGAGATTTTAAGAATTTATTAAATAATTTTTACCATGCATAAATGGCAGGTGATACTTCTTGTAGCAATCAAAACGTCAAAAGAAGATTTTTACATGTGAAAGACCTTAATTTCATGAACAAATAACAAAAAAATTAGCAAGAAGACACTTTAAAAATATAGCCAACTATGTATTTTGCAAGTTTGTTAAATTTTTCATACGTAATGCATATAGACCCCTTGTCCATGTCTATCCCCTTGTGACGTTTTATTGTTTTATGTACTCACTCTTAGAAGAGGCATTCAAATCTTACAATTTTTTGGTAGTTGGTATTTTTATTATGTTTTCATATTGGATATTTCTTGCAGTGTACAAGTATGGCAAAGAATGACATTCCATGTAGTTGCGTGCAGTGGTGGGACTGCTCCACCCTTAACAAGAGGTCTTGGGTTTGAGCCTATGGAGAAAATCCTATTGGGAGCATACCTCCGAATGAGCCCTGCAGTGCATCATCTGAATTTAGTCTGGGCTCCAATGCAGGCAGCGGATACCAAGTGGAAACAAAAAAAAAGAGAATATCAAAACTCACTCTCTTTTAGAGATATCTGATATACGGTAAGCTTTTGCTTTTCATGTTTCTCTTCTTTGATCATCTATTCACATCCTCATTTGAACAAGAATTTTAAGATTTATCATTTCCTACATCGAAGGAACAGGAAACAACTTAAAGGATTATACACACCTTACATGTGAGAAATAAAAAATAAATATAATGAAGAACATGTAAAAAAATGATAAATTAATGTGCTTCTTTCTCATTTTTATCGTTGCCTCATGACAGTTGATTGTTGAAGACATCTGTAGAACGAAGGGTTGTCCGTTCACCGTATGGACCGATCTAGATCCTGTACCTGATCCTGATGAAATTCAGGTTAAACCATGCTTTCATTCAATCACTTTGGGCTCATCATCTCAATGAAGAGGTGCTACTAAAACTGGAGCAAGTCCAAGAAGGCAGCCTTTATGGAATACTCCAAGAAATATGAGACTGATGAAGGTAAAAGAGATAACTTAGTTTTTATGTTTGTGTTATTCGCGAGTTGGCTCATACTCAGGTACTAAATTTGAATGTCATCCTTCATAGATTTTTTTTTTTGGACCGTGACTTGTATCTGCTCGCACTCCATATATAAAATGTATTTTTACAAAATAACTTCCCTTCTATCTCCAAAATGTTGTTTAGACCACCGTTCATGCTATGAGATACTAAGTATCTATATGCTATTTATGATGTCGATCATGATGAGATTTCTCATCTCATCTTTCAAATGCTCTATGGAGGAATCTAATTTGCTAGATATGCTTTGTCATAAGATTCCTCATTTTGCTGTATCTACTCAATGTTTTGCCTTAGAAGTATTTAGCAGTGAGTGAATTATCTTTCAACTGTCCATTTTCCAATTTCATTGCTTATACTTGTATCATTTTCTTCCAATTATGATTGATCATAGTTGTATAATGTTGGTGCATGAGATGAATTTAAATAGAGAAACATGGTCAATATAAATTCATAGCTGACCCCAACTTGAACTGAGGCATAGTAGTTGTATGATTGATCTTTATTTTTTTGCATAAGCTGTGATTGATTACTGCATGACATTTATCTCTTCCATTAGCTCCCCATTTTATGACATACGAAAGTTTGCAGTTATTTGTTCGATATATTTCCAAGATTTTTGTGATACTCAAAATTGCACACTTGACTCATTCAGCCCTTTCATGAGTCGTCTGTTTGCTGCCTTCTCAAGGAGAAAGACCTCTTTCTCTGTTTTAATTTTGCATTTTCTTTTAAAGCCACTGCTACAATGTTATAAGTTAATTTTTGGCATTCTGTTCTGCGTTCAATATTATGCTACATTGCTACTAAACTCATACTTCTGTTTTTTTTTTAAATTTCTTTTAGTCTTATTACTCGTTAGTGCTTCAGTAAAATAACCGCATTAATTTCTACTTTTTATCATGGGGGTGCTAGTTTTGAGCTTCTGAGACTTTTTACCTTACCTTGATTCATCTGTTCACTTGGCTGTCTAGAGTGAGGTTATGATTTCCTTGTTGTGAATCAATCACTTTATAAAGTCTGTCTATTCAATACTTAGTGGAAGTTTCCAGTGTCTTTATCTCTCTATTATGTTTAGTGTTACTTCTGATGCATATCAAATGTTTGGTTTTAAAGAGTTAAACTGTGTACAGTCCATTTTGAAAAGTGTAAAGCTTCTATCGCGTTTTCTAGTATTTACACTAGGTGTTCTGTGTATACACTATCCTTTCTAGACCCAACTTGTGGAATTACAATGGATTTGTTGTTGTTTTTGTTGTTACCATTTTTTAATGTCTCATACTGAAGATGTTGTTCTTAAGAAAATTTTCCTTCTACTTGGTGATTTAATTTTAGAATGTGATTGCTAATTCCTACTTAAATGTTTGGTTTAGATAAGTATGCAGTTGAAACCTACCATATTTTTTCTAATCTGTTAGTTGTCTTGATTTCGACAGATATAGCTATTTTTTTATTTGGCTTGTTAGTTACCTGTTGAAGAAAATTCTTTTGTTATACTTTAGGATCACTAATCAAAGAAAAATATGAATATCAGTTCTTTTGCTATAATATTTCCTTTCTTATCTTGTAGTGTGTGATCTAGCACCAGAATTCATTTTGGATGCTGTTCGAAGGAGCAAGAGAAGCAGTAAGAGACACATATGGCCCCGCGTAGGCAGGTGCTGAAGCAGATAGTTGTGTATGACCATAAAACTGAACCTGCTCCAGCTGCATACTGAGTAGTTTGGGATGGCACTGGACTAGTAGAACCCTGCACCAGATAATGACATTCAGGCTGCCCAGGTCTTTCCGGAAATGCAAGTCCATCCTGGATGCTGCTTGAAGCACCAAGAGAAGCAGTAAGAGATGCATATGGGTTTGCGTAGGCAGGTGCTGAAGCAGATATTCGTGTATGACCATAAACTGGACCTACTCCAGCTGCAGAGAGAGAAGTTTGGCATGGCACTGGACCTGCTCCAGCTGCAGATTGAGTAGTTTGGTATGGCACTGGACAAGTAGAACCCTGCACCAGATAATTTAATACTTGCCAGATAAATAATGCATTTCAGGAAAGATCTATATCAACAGCTGCCACAAACACTTATAATATCCAGATAAGGAGTCCAATCCGACACGGGAACCACTCTAGGGGGAAAAAGCATAGGACCATATGTGTCAGGAATATAGAAACCTGGAAGCAGAGCAGGCCCTATAACTGGCCAGTAACCATTCCATATTGTTCAGCTGAATCAACAGGAGGAAGAGGTTGCAGTTCTGGATAAGTGGCTGGCGGTGGAACAGCCGCTGGCAAAGGAAAAGGTCCAGCTGCTAATGCTGGAACTTGCACACCAGCTGGCTGTGGATGGTTAAATTTACAGGTGATACCAAATTTACAGTGCCCTGTTTTCATATAGTGTGCACATTCCTTTTCATTCTGTGAAACAAACTCAATGAACCAGATCAGAAAGATAATTTAATGGTCAAACATTTCAAAGGAGACGAGCAAAAGAATTGAAAACACAAATCAATGGAGATAGCGATACAAGGAGACAGAAGGAAAACATAATGAACATGAAAAGAAGACAGAGGGTCGCAGCGGGTAACCATAAATGTTATGTATCACCAGGCTTGGTGATTCCTCTCCCTGTCTTGGATGGTGATATTTGCATGAAGCACCAAACTTGCACATCCCCGTCCTCATATAGTACTGTAAATCATAACCAGGAACAACTAGCATTATAACATTACAGTCTTATACATGAAAGTTTTGCAAGAATTTCAAATGCATGACATATAGCCATATAACTTGTATTCAACAGTCACTTGGGTTAATTAGCAGCAAGTCCAATATTAGAAAACCTCACAATGTAAATCACAGTTTGGAATAGAAGACCTGGGCTACCGTCTACCTGAATGTCATTATTACATGAAGTATGGGGATTGCAATTTTGGATCTTTGTGTAAATACTCTTATCATCAGTGCTATGGGTCTCCTGACCTGTAAGCAACTTGCCATGTAATCCTTAGATTGAAATTCTTCACTGCAATTTAATGTTTTATCTTTTGGTCTTGCTTGTAATTTTATATGATAACAGGTTATCTGCTAACATTCCTTTAGTGTAAATTTGCAACGTTTTTTTGAGAATGTCAATGAAGTTAGTATATAAATAAAGATAGCATTTAAAATTGAATAATTAGAAGTCTTGATACAGCAATTACTTCTGTAGATTTCATTCAGATTAAACCATACAAAAGGAATTGGAAGGTTAATGAAGTTATTTTTTATTCTTACTTTAATATTTCTTTCTCTTAAGAAAGTGCATGTTAAGATATGGTGTATTTTTTTTAGTTATTTAACTTCTTTTTTAAAAAAACAAGAAATCAATATTGTTATTTCTTAAACGTGTATGGAGCTTTAATGTTTCATGTTTAACTTAACCATTTTGTCCTAAAATTATATAAAATTTTAATTCCAATCATTTTAATAACATTTCAATATCCAAAAGTGTGTACAATTACTCTCTGTTCACGTTATTTAGTATCATATTATGAGTAATATAAGAAAAAAATATAATGAATTGTGTATATACATTATTTACATAGAGATCCCACTTATAGAATTATAATACAATCCTTTACCATTCTATTACTATTCCTATTTTTATTTCTATTCTAAGTAGGACGGTATACATATTAATAAAGATAAAGAAAAAGTAAACATGAAATACACAATTTTTATTGCATATTATTATGTGACAATTAACAGTTTAGAAAAATATGACAGGTTAAAGCTCACATTTAAAAGCTAATATATCCACTCCTTTTGCTATGTCATCCTCCAACGGTGTAAGATACTTACTCTATCCGGATTTGTTTGTCATGTTGTGTTTATCGAAAGTCAATTTAACTAATTTTTGAAGATAAATTAGATATTTTAAAACTATATGAAAAGTATTATAAATTTCAATTTTTTGCATATCAATATGATAAAAAAATACATCTTAAAATATTAGTCAAGTTTTTATAATTTGACTCTAAAAATAGAAATTATGACAAATAATACCGTATCAGATTTCCAAGTTCAAAGAGAAATTAGATCAAATCTTTTACAAAACAATCGCATCAAACTATGCAGATAAATTCTAGAAAGAATATACGGCAGTGCCAAATTATTTTGGTGCAAAAGACGGTTTAGTTTTACCAAATTCAGTATACTCTATTATGTTGTACACAAGCGGATTTTCACAAAGAATGTGTCAAACAAATGCAAACTGCAGTATGTTATGTTGTTAACCAAGGGGCTTTTTCTCCATCAAGCCGCGATAATTGTGTGACCAACTGCAGTCATTGGTAACTCATTTTTTAAGCAAAATGTATAAAAACACAACTTCAACGAAAAGAGAAACACAAACTATCTTGTTGATTTATCACTAGATGAGGGTGCTTTGGTTACAGATGAACTTGTCGACTCTTCAGCTTGCACAAGTTTGCGAAGTCTGTCTTGAAGGACTCTAACTCTGTCTTCTGTTTTGCGGAGCCTTCGCCATCTATAGGCAAACCAGAGCCCCAATCCTCCGTATACAACAGTATAGGAACCCCAAACATAGGGGTAGGTTTCTGCATTCTCTTTCACTTTCTGGTACTGTTCTTGTATCTTACCTGCCCAAGTAGTGTATGAGTAACTTTCTGATTGTTTGTCTACTGTAGTTGGTGGTTCAATCACTTCACTCTTCTCCTGAGTCGCCATTGTTGGTCCTGTAACTCAAAACTTAAAAAATAGTCTCAATGGAGAACCAACCCCTGTGACATGTACAACTTGGTTGCAGCAAACACAAACAGTCCTCAGTTACTCGGAGCAATAAGAATTAAGATTATCGAATACAATAAAATATACTGTTACCCTAGCTAGGAGGTACATACTGCTCTTTAACACATTTAAACCATTTTTTTCTTGGAGAAGAAAAATAGCAAACATGATTTTTACTATGGCATGTAGAGGCAAATAAGATAACCATCTATCTAGAGAATGAGCACGAGTAATCTTTTGTAACAATGTTTCTAACATATGCTTTATTGATATCAAAAGACGTCACTTTTTGGTAGACAGGGATCCCGTAAAAAACTTCTTTCGAGGAATGGGCCAGACTGGGTCATTTCTCAAGAACAATAGCTAAAGGGCCTGATACTACCACTTGGATAACAGATGAAGCCAGGACTTATCTACATAGAAAATAAAATGGAAACAATCCAAAAGATATATCCTAGACTGAAAGAGTTCAATCATCCTTAAGAACACATTAACTTCAAGAGCTTGCTCCGTATGCTTCATTGGAACTCCAACAAAATCAAAAGGCCTTAGAATTTCTATCTAACTCACAATCCTTAAATCTTCCTCTAAAAATGAAAGGGCAGCCCAGTGCACTTAGCCCCCATTAAGTGGGGGGATCCAGGAAAAAGCTGGACCACAAGGGTCTATTGCGCACACACACACCAGCTCAAACCTGTGACCTTCTGGTCACGTCACATGGCAACAACTTTACCAGTTACACTAAGGATCCACTTCAATCCTTAGTCTGAACAATCAGTAGAACCAAATTAACCTAACCTAACAAACTTACGCATTCAGAATGTGTGTTTGTTTTCTATAAACAAATCGAATTACATTTATCAAAGAAAATTCTAATTGAACAGTAAAACGAAATTGTACATTTCCAGCTTTTGCAGATAATAGTAATAAATAATAAGCTGATAACTAAATCTTCCTGGATAAAGGATCAGTCTCCAATTAAGGCTTAAATATCTCGATCTAATTATCTTCTCCATGGAACTACAATACTACTTGGAAAGCACCATAGAAACTACATCAAAACAACTATTGGCATATGAAAAGTTCTACTTCGTTCTGAGCAATCAAAATCGATAAAAAAAAAAGAGAGAATCGAACATACCGTTTGGGGGCAGATCCAGGAGGGTCACACCAGTCGTAGGGTTTATCCCGGGTTTCCACGATTGCATTTAAATCCACACCCTATATTCCTTTTATTAACTACAAACTTAAAAATAATGATTTTTAACTTATTTGTTTATATTTTATTTTATTCAAATATTATAAAAATATGTATAAAAAGAACTAATTTAATAAGATTAATTCTAACGTACTCTTGGATCGAAGGATATCAACTTATATTTACGATATTGTGCTCTACATTTTCTTGTGAGATAAAACTGAACTGATAACTTTTATTTATATTAAAAATTATATCAACTTTTGCAGCAACATATATATAAATAAGATTACAGATCAAGTACGAAATTCTGAAGTTAGTAAATGAGAATACGAGAAAATAAGAAGCCTCTTCAAAAAGGAAAAAGGCTTAAGTATGTTATTCAACTTTCAGAAAACGCTTATTTATATCATCAATTAAAAGTTTGACTCATTTATTTCATACCATTAAAGAAAAGACTCATTCATGTCATTATTTTTAATAGTGATTTTACAAAACCATTTTTAACACGTGATCAATTATAATTCGTCTACGTCATCAATTTTTTAATTAAAAAAATCATAATTTTGAAAAAAAAATTGAATTAATTTTTTTATTTTTATTAAATAAATTGATGACATAACCAATTATAATTTGGCCACATCATCAATATTTTAAATAAAAAATCAAAATTCTAAATAAAAATTGAATTATTTTTTTCTGATTTTTTTATTTAAAAAATTGATAACGTGACCGAATTATAATTGGTCACGTGTGAAAAATGATTTTGCAAAATCACTGTTAAAAAGTAATGGCATGATTGAGCCTTTTCTTTGACAGTAATGAACCAAACTTTTAACTGATACAATTCAATGGCATATTTGGGTCTTTTCCCCTGAAAATATATATTTAAACAGTTATATTAATGGAAAATGTCACGTTTGGTGGCTGGTAAACATACATAAATTTTTGTCTATATTTGGGATTGCAATGAATTTCTCTTTTTATGCATGCATAATCTTTTGGTCCTATGTAGAAGAGTTAAGATTTTCCAGAGTCACGCATATCTTAACGACATAATTTAATATCGAAACATGTATACCATCTAATTTGGTACATGACACTGCGCAGTTAACATCTTTCCAACGATGTGCATTTCACACAAGAGATTCGCAACCCTGTACAGTTTCTATTTGAAAGGCTTATCATCCACTTCGCAAACTATCAACACAAGGTTCTTCTTCCTTCTTCAAAATGCGGACTTCACAGAGGATATAACTGGAAAAACTAGGTCCACCAACGTCGAACCGTACTTTTCAAACAGTGTCTTATTGAGCTCAAACAGGTCACTAGCACATCGTCTACCAAATGCTAACTCCTCAGGAACTCCTGTCACTCTTCTACTGTGTCTTGGACTTCACGAAAAAGGTCATTGAATATGCACAACAAATATGCTCATCCCTGCCTAGACAAAGCCAAGGCAACAAGACTTCATCCATAAGGAGCAGTGCATAGTGTGGGCTCTTCAACCAATCTTAACTGGCTATCAAGGAAGAAAAACTGGCGGCCTGCTCTTCCATTTGCTGCAAGAATTCAGATTCGAACATCCTTATGGTCATGATCAGATGACTATGCTGGAACACAACACTATCTTATCCCTCTCAATCCATTGTTATCCCCAGGAGTGTAGCCAACGCAGTGATGATTGGTACTGGTGAATTAGTCCAAGGAGTAGTACTCCACCACAGTATCATATGTTTGCATAGAGAAAGGGCTCTCGGCAAAGCATCTACAAAGAACATTATTTTAGGTCAAAGAATGAGGTATGCTTTACCAAAAAAAAAAAGGTCTGAACAGCAATGCTTTAAAGATTGAGAACGAGGAGCAGAAAGAGACTAAAATTTTATACATACAAATTTTTTTTCTTGAAAAGAACAAGAGTGAAACCAAAAGGTGGAAAAACAAACTAAAACAAAATATTTCTTAAAAAAGAAAGAAACCAAACGGCAAAAATAAAACAACAGGAACAAACATATTAGTTGAAAATAGCTACACAAAGAGCAACTTAAAAAATAGTGGATATCATTTCAAAAGAAAATATATTCACAGTTCCTGTTCTACTACTGTTACAATTGCAGCTCTGGCAGTTAGTTTAAACCAGGATAGCAGTTTCTAATTCTAAATAGATCATTGGTAAATATGGCATTGCCGGTATCTAACCTGGACGGACTTATTTAGAGCGCTAACTTGCCATAATCTAGTGAAAGTTTGACTGATAAACCTTGATGTACTATCTCCCTTTCTTTCTATGAGATGAATTCAATGAATGGTTAACGCCAGCAGGTCAGACAAAACTTTCTATTAGCCAATTATATTATATCCTAAGCCTCCTGCCTGTGGTGGCAATAAGTGAACTATACAAATTAGTTCATGGATGCTATCTCAGTATTCAAAGGTGGAAATTCAAAGACATAATCCACTGCCTTCAATGTTCATAAACGTTTGCTAAGACAGTTGACGGAATTGGATCTCACAGCTATAAATCTAGAGCACAAAGAAAAACTCAAAGTCTAACATGGGTTTACCTCGAAAAGGGTATGGCAGAGATTAATAAGATGGATGCATATCCTGGTGACCAGGATTCAAATCCCAGCAAATACAAAAAACTCTGATCACTTCACATGTGCCTAAACATTTATGAGTATGTACATGTGTGAGTTGTGGGTAGCAAGTATCCGGTGTAATAGTCGGTTTGTGCTCAAGCTAGATCCCACATGACCATTATAAAAAATAATCTGAAATTAATCAGCCTCTGCTTAATGTAGGCTTAGTGTAATAAAGTTATAAGTTAAGTATACCTTCGTGTGTTAAAGTAAAGACTCAATGAAGTAGAATGAGAGATACCTTAGTTCATGCCAAAACACTTCTGCACGTTCATGCAAGAAGGGCCGCAATGGAGCAAGAAATTCATTTCTGTCGCACCACTGTGTTGAATGTGTATTCTCAGTGATAAAAAGTGAGGTAGCAACATGGACGATAATGGATGGATCTGGATCACCCAGTATAGCCTGCAGCTCTCTTCTTATCCAAGGTTCTATTCTCTGTAACATCTTTTCTTTGGTACTCCTATTATCCATGTGCTATAAATTAAAACACAGTAATATTATAAGCAAATTTAGTCATCTCAAACAGAACCAATTAAGACAGGCAACTTCCAATCATCTGGTTCTTATTATCAAGATAGTAGATACAACAATAGCTATCTTTAGTGAAATGCATATATCCATTGGGCTAAGCATTACCTGCATAAGGCAATTTTTAGATGAAAAAGGAACAGCCTGCAATCTCTCTTCATAAATGCTGCAACAAAGTATGCATTTCCAGGTCAAACAAATATCATCTATTAGGATTTTCTAGACCAAATTCAGACACCTATAGATAGGTAAATGGAATAGCATATTAAGGAGAAATTACAAATAATTAGTAAGCATTTGTACCTGGAACGCCAGAGAATGATTCTCCTAGTAATATCATCTGGATTCAAAGCTCCTTTGTGATCAAAGGATCGCCGCCTTGGGAACGGCCTCGTTCTGGAGCCAAAAGTATTCAACTCTTCTCTCCTTCTCCTAATCACTCTGTCCAACATAAAAATCACAAACTCACTGGGGATAATTCGGAGCAACTTAGGGATATTTCAAATCAATTAGACTTCAACACTAAAAGTTAGTAGTACGATTTCGTTTTTTATGAGCTAAAACTGATAGATAATTTAAAGGACAAAAAAACTAACCTTCGGTCCGCCAATCGGTCTCTCAGCCTAGAGGGAACAAAACCTGAGTGTAACTTCTTAGTCTCGTTACGAGCTGATAATTGCTCTTTCTGGAAGGTCCGGGAGGAGAAGCTGATTCTGGAGAACCATGAATCAAAGTCGGCGTTGCAGAGAGGGCATTTTCTCTTCACATCGCTCCATCTGCGGATGCAAACGATGCAGTAGGCGTGCATACATGGGATAACAACCGCCGCGCTCCGATGGTGTATCTGGCAGAGGCATATCGGACATGATTGCCGGGCAACGGCAGCGGCAATTTCCTTAAATCTGGAGTCCATAAGAGAGACAATTTCAAGTCGGGTCAACTGGTTTAGACTTTGATGGCAGTTATATGGTTGGGCAAGAATTTATAATTTAAAATAAATTATAATTATTCATTAAAAGAAAAACTAAAATAAAATAACTTAATTACTAGCAAAATAAAAATATAATATTTTTAAAACGATTTCAAATGAAAATTGAAAAAAAAAATGTCATACAAATGGAAATTAATTGAGTACTTTTTTAATCCTTTTGTACGGGTTGAGCAAGCTTTGTATATATATATTTTTTTAGTTGGTCATTCAATGACATTTTATTTTTAATATTAAAATTTATTTAATTTATTCACATTACATAAAATTAAAAACTTTATATATGAGTGCGAATAACTCGGGAGTAGCGTGACATGCTGGTTGAGAGCTTTCTTGAAGTCGCTCCAACTCGTAGTGTTATTTCAATAAAATAATCTATAATAATAGTGTCCATGTGATAAAATTCAAAAAAAAAAAGAGTTCATATGATAGATAAAAGTACTTAAAAATAGTGGCTAAAGTTCATAGAATTTAACTACAAACTAAAATTTCAATATTTCTTCGTTCAGTAATATATGTATTTATGGTGATAAAAATTTTTTTGATTGAATTGTTTTTTTTTCTCATTCAGTATTTAAAGTTTACATCAAAGTTTTAATTAAATTTAAATCGCATATTATATAATTCATTTGAAAATAATATTCCTAATATAATTTTTTTCATATCCAGAACTTAAACCAGAACATCTAATTAAAGATAAAACTTTTCCACTCCATAACTCATGTTGATTTTTTGATTAAATTGTCGAGACTTAGAGTTTATTTAGATTGGCTACGTATCTTTAGAAAAGACAAGGCAAGTAAATGCTTAACGAAAATTACAATAAAATAATAAATAAAATTGATACAACAATCTTTTACATAGTTAGTAGTACATGTAAGTTAGATTCTTACCCATTTTTATTTTTTCCTCTTATCATTTAAAAAAGAATGATTTTATTTTTTTTAGTTTATTTAAAAAATGTGTTTTTGGTAAAATTTAACTTAACTTTTTACATGTGCATGTTTAACATTACAAAATCAAAGAATATTTTAATATGTTTGACATAACTTTAATTTAAAATCACAAAATTAATTTTTTTTAAAATTCTGTTCCAAATCAAATAAAATTATCCTTTTTGAAACAAATGAAATACTTCGGTACATATTATCTTCCTTTTGGAAGTTTCACATTGGGATAAAAACCAATAGTAATAAAAGAGTATTCATTATTTCATTACAATTCATGTCGATCATTAAATGCCAACTAGGAGTATTATTCTTAAAAAAAAATGACCATTATCATTTTGATTATTTATATATAATTAAATTTTAAACCCATAAAGCGCCAGCGGTTTTGAGTTTAGGCTTTAAGGCCCCTTGTAAATGAAGACTCATGACTTCACTTTCTCCACCGACCATTTGGCCGCCGATGAACACCGCCGGCACCGTCGGATTGCAGCCGAGATTCGAAAGCACAGTCTCGATCTCACGGCCAGTTCTTAGCATCTCATCGAGCTCGTAAACTGCGGTGTTAACGCCGAGATCGGAGAAGAAAGACTTAATGGAGTGGCTCATGCAGCAACCAGTCTTGCTGAATATCACAACTGGCTTTTCTGTTACCATTTTGCTTAATTTATCCATAGAAAAATAAATATGAATTTAGAGGTCTGGTGATTTTTGTTGAAAGACTTTTTGAGTTTTTTTAAGGAAAAGGTCCAGTGAGATATGTATTTATAGATTTTACATGCATGTTTAATTTAAAGAAAAAGAATCCAAAAAATTAAAATAAAAAGTAGTACTAGTATCGTGGTTTCAATACGTTGATACAAAATGCTCCTATGGTTATTAAACGGATAAAAATGTCATTTTTTAAATAATATTTTATTTATTTATTTAAACACATCTTGTTTTCGGGTGAGAATATTACTTTTAGGAAACCTTATCCTTTTTTTAAAAAAAAAATCACTTCTAACTAATCGAAAAGTAGGAAATAATAAATTTTTTCTTGATATCATTTTACCAATTAAAATAGAAGTATTCTTTTAAGGATAATATAAATCATATATATAAGAGCCTAGTAAACTCATAATTCTATTTTCATATAGATAATTATAAAAAAATTATAATAAAACAAGATATTTTTTTCCAAATTAAACATTTGCTAAAATAAATATTATGAGGAAAAGAATGTGCTCAAAGAAAATAAAATAATTTATTTAGTTGAAAAAATGCATTTTAACAATAAAAATATTTTTTTATCGAATTATAAATGAAGGATATTTTTATTTATTTAACATAGTTTAAAGATATTTTGATCTTTTCTGTAATAATAGTAATATATTTTATTCCATACTCCATCTGTTCAATAATACTTGTCCATTATTGATTATACACACTTCTTAAGAAACTATAAATAGGAGAGTAATTTTACTATATAACACTTTAAATATAACAAATAAAATATTTTTGAAAATGTTATTGGGAAATGACTATAAAATGTAAGGATCAATTAGGAACTAAGTGTAAAATTATCAATTGATTTTATAAATAGATAAATATTATTGGACATTTTAAAATAATATAATGGACAAATATTGTTAGACATACCAAATTCTCATCTCGTAATCTTCTCTCCCATTTCTCTTTTCCCTGGCCCATCTTTTTAAAAATTATTTCCGCATCCTATTTATAAATATGAAAATTTCTTATATAAATTATTTACACTCAAAATAAATATATTTATTATAAAAGATACTACAAAACCAATTGACTCTATCAGCTAATACTATAACTCAATGTCCCATCATGTATAAGAATCTGAACAATTAACCAAAAACCTCTATAAATCATTTAAGAGCCATTATACTACAAAGAGAATATAATTCAAGTGGGAGTAATTAAACTTTACCAAATATCTATAAAAAAAATTTAAAAAAATGGTTAATTAAACATATGCATGGGTTTTTCATTATAATTAACACATTACACATAAATTGCACAGATATTATTAGACTGTATGATCTTATCACGAGGTGCCTAATTATGAATATTATTTTAAAGCCGTTTCCTTTATTTCGTTTTTCTATTTCTAGACAAATAAAATTAACAACGTAATTAGAAGATATATTTGGGTTGTGGTTGCAAAATTTTGTGAGTGAATAGTTCAGCTGATGCACATATATTAACACTAATGAAAATAAAAAAGTTTCACCATACACGATTAACTCATGATAACTACATATCAAAAATTGTGGTGAGTAAGCTTAGATATAGGCAGGATTTTGAGATGATAAATGTACTATTACGAAAAAGGTGAATTTAAGATATAAATTTGATCGGTTAGATATTTTGGTTTTTATCATTGAATATCATTAAAATTGTAAAATTATAGGTCCAACATCAATTCTTATATATATATATATATATATATATATATATAAT